CTCAGTGGATAGAGCGTCGGCCTGCAGACTCAAGGGTCCCAGGTTCAATTCCGGTCAAGGGCATGTAGCTTGGTTGCGGGCACATCCCCAGTAGGGGGTGTGCAGAAGGCAGCTGATCAATGTTTCTCTCATCAATGTTTCTAACTCTCTATTCTTCTCCCTTCCTCTCTGTAACAAAATCAATAAAATATATTTTAAAAAAAGACAGACAGCAGAGGTAATCATGCTAAATGCTAGAATCTAAGGGGTGTGAGAATGAAGAGTGAGTGGAAGTTGTCATTGATGTGATAGAAGCTAAAGGTGACAGCTAACTTGTCACCCAAGCAGCTCTGTGTTCCAGGCACTGCCATAAGAACTTGAGAGGTATTAATTCCTTCTTACAATTTTCTGAGATATAAGCTGTGGTTATCCCATTGTATAGGTGAGGAAATGGAGGCACAAAAAGATTCAATAACTTACTCTAGGAAAAACAGGTGATAAATGGAGTGACCAAGATGTAAACCCAGAAACTGGCTCCAGCACCCACATTTTAACCACACACTGTACTTCCCTCTTCTCCTCCCTAAAGGTGTGACTTCAGATCTTTTTATCATGTAAGGTAGATGATAGGTCTCAAGAAGATGTTTTGAGGTAGAATGGAGGGAAGATTAGGATCTTTATGTTACCTGGGCTCCATCTTCCCAGCTGAGTTGGAGAGAAAGTTGCCTGCTGACACCCAGTGAGGGAGCCAAGTCTGGCCCCAAGGAACCTAGGAAAGATGACAAGGGAGCAGTGAAACAGGAAGTATTGCATTCAATTTTTGTTGCAGAGGTAAACATGCGCAGTGTCTTTCCTTGACTGGCTCTTGGCCTTGTGCTCTGCCTGTGCCCAAGGAGTCTTTGTTTCACGTAGAATGTCACATGCAGGGGAGAAGGGGCAGAAGGGGGACTGTCACCCCACAACTCTGTAATGAATATACTTCATTCAGAGCCAAGGAAGGAATCAGAGATATATACAATATGATCCTTGCCCTTAGAGACTCTGGAGCTAGTTGGAGAAATGGGACATCCGTGTACTGGCAGGCGAATGATGACTGTACAAGGGCGTTGAGTGATAAGGTGATAAGGGTTAATTTTAATTAACTGGTTGTTAACTGTGGGCCAGAGGAACTGGAAGGACTTCCAGGTGAAGATTTCAGCTGCTGAAGGACTTTAATAGCTGGTCAAGAATCCAGAGGACACTTCAGCATGATGCAAAGGGTGGTGGTGGGAATAATAGCTCTGTAAGAGTTTGGGTCCAAGGAGTGCCAGAATACTATACCTTCCAAACCTTTCTTGACACATGATATACCATCCAACCCTACTTTGATAAATTATTCAGAACCACTACAGACTTAAAACAATCAGTCTGTGTTTTGCTATTTAATTCATTAGGCTACATGGTAAAATGGAAAGGAGTGGGGTTAAAATTCCAGTTATCACTTGTATGACCTTGGACCAGTAACTTCACCTCTTGGGCCTCAGGTTTTCCATCTGTAAAATGTACATACCAGTTCTCTGTCTTTTAGGGTTGTGCTATGGCATAAATGTGATAATAATTGATATCTAAGCACAGTGCCTAAAATGAAGAAGAAATTGGATGATGCAAGTTATTGGCTGACAATTCATTTCTGAAGATGTGACTGCTGAACTTTCTATAAGTGTTAATGCTTTCATATGCATGAAGTGTATGTTATGTCTTGTGTACTGTTTGTTTATACATCTCCCTCCTCCATGGACTTGGCCAGTGTATATACTCTGATGGGCCAGGCCCTTTATATGAACCTCTGAGAAGTCCTAATTCTTGGAGTACCTGAATGGATTTGCTCAGGTATCAGGGGTTCCTCCCAAATCCCCCTGTAATATACCCATTTTCCTCATATCCATCCTGTCTTGGTAATTCTCATGATTTTTTTAACATATCCCCAGGATCTCCATTATTATATATTTATTAAACATGGAATTCAACAGTTTCAAGTACCTACGCCATTTATTTCCACTGTGTAATTTTTATTCTCATTTGTCATTTTGTGTTTCTTTGAGGGGAATTATATAAGAGCTAGAAGTGCCGCACTGACTCACAGTCCTTGTCCCTTCAACCCAGTAATCCTCTGCAAAAGGGACAAGAAGAAATGTTTTGGGGAGAGCAGCCTATTTCATTTTCTCAGACTGAGGCTGCACATACTGTCTGATGTTGACTTAAAACATCTCTCCCAGACCTTTCATCTGTCACCTGTCTGCCTTCTTCTGGAATCTTGATGGGTCTACAGACGTTCATTTTGCAGCTCTGTGGAAATGTGGAGCACCCAATGGTGGTCGGGAGCACGGAGGAATGGAATAATACCAGGTTGATGCTGTGGTGTTAGACCTGCCCATAGAGACAGCAGGAGCTTAAGGACACACTTGCCCAGCACCTACACATAGAGCAGGACATGCATTGCGAAGGGAAGGCTGCCGGGTTGTCTCCCAGTGGGTCATCCAGCATGGAGGCCTAATCTGGGTGAATTTCCCAAGACCAAGGCTCAGGCTCACAACATGTGAGCTTGGAAGCTAGATCTTGGGGCCAGACACATAATAAGCAGTTCATGGGAAGTAGACGTGTAGAAGCCCAGGATCCCAGACTGCTAGCTGCACCGAAAACTTTGTCTGCCAGGTAGTCGGGAACACTAGTACCATTACTCCCTGCACTGGAGGCCACGTCCTAGTCTGAAGGCTATCTGGTGAGCACTGTCAGAGCGAGGGCACGTAGGGGGATAAAGGAGAGTGAAACTGTGTGTCAGGACAGTCTGGCTGTGTATTTGGAATTCTCGAGCTCTGAGGCTGTTGCCTGGATGGGCACTGCCCAGTTTGTCTCTATTGCATTGTTTGTTGGTTGTTTTTTAGTATGTGTTTTTATTGATTTTAGAGACAGAGAAAGGGCGAGGGAGAGAGAAATAGAAACATCAATGATGAGAGAGAATCATTGATCGGCTGCCTCCTGCATACCCCCTAATGGGGATCAAGCCTGCAACTAGGGCATGTGACCTGACCAGGAATCCAACTGTGACCTCCTGGTTTATAGGTCGACACTCAACCACTGAGCCACACGGCCCGGCTCTTGGTTGATTTAATGCAGTGGTTCTCAATCTTCTGACCCTTTAAATACAGTTCCTCATGTTGTGACCCAACCATAAAATTATTTGTGTTGCTACTTCATAACTGTAATGTTGCTACTGTTATGAATCGTAATGTAAATATCTGATATGCAGGATGGTCTTAGGCGACCCCTGTGAAAGGGTCCTTCGACCGCCAAAGGGGTCGCGACCCACAGGTTGAGAACCGCTGGCTTAATGCTTCCTTTATGCTGACCAAACCTCATTCTGATTTGAGTCATCCTTTCTTAAAGATTTGTTAGAATTTACAAATTGACTTGGGTCATATTTTTCCCCCACCTTTGAGAAATTTAAGGTAACTCTTTATACTTCTTGCATGACCCATTATTACTGATTTACAGTTTACCTCTGAGCAGGCTTTTTATTGCCCTCACGTCTGGGTTTTTAGTAGACTTCTCACTGTAGCCTTCTTCTACTGGTAATATGTAAATTTACTAATTTTACCCTGCCAGGCCTAGTTTACTCATCTGTATAAGGCACCAGATTAATTAGCTAACCACTAAAGTAATTTCTAACTTTAAATTCTTACCTTCAAGTTTCAAAAGATTTTCCTCTTAATAATAAAAAAAAAAAATCTGTGGTTTTGTGAAGCTTAGCTTTCCCCTATCAAATAGCATGATTCCTGACCAGATCCCCCTAGCTAGTTGGTATTAATAAGGCTGGCACCTTTCCTTGGCTTTTTTTTTTTTTTAAAGAACAGATCTGGATTCAGTCATTCATGCCTTTGTATTCCAGTTCCATCCTCATAGTACTTCTTTGGACAAATCAATCATCTTTCATATTTCATTGAGGCTTCTAAAATGATTTTCTAATTCTCTTTCCATCAGTAATTTATTAGCTGGAATTCTAGAGTGAAGAACTTACTCTTATTAACTATTTGGTTACTTTGAAATGTTGTTAATAAAGTAAAGGCAGGACAAATGCTTAATTCTTTCTCTTTATCGATTTTTTGATTAATGAATTGAGAATTTAGCACTTCCAATGTTGATCAATGTGTTTTTTTTAAATAACATCTTTTGAACTCAGAATTTGATATATTTTATATGTATCAGTACATGCGATCCATATTGACATAATCTGTGTAAATTGGTGCAATTCATATTGTTTTTGATGAGATTGACACAATGTATGGAATTTCCTTCAAACTATTCTGGCACCTAAAAGCAAACCATCAACAAAGGGAGTGATATAGATGAAAAAAGATTGGAAAAAATCCTTTCCTTTTTCAACTTTATGGGAAAATCTTCATATTTATTAAAGCTGGGTAATGGCTTCATAGGGTTCATTATACTGTTATTTTTAGCTTTGGATATGTTTGAATTTTTTCCAAATAAAATAGCTCTAGAAATACACATAATTCTAAGGTTATCAGAGGTATAAATCTGAATTTAGTCTTCAACTCTGGCCTCTACATGAATCCCCTGGAGAAGGTTCTTTGATTTTTATTGAAATTCCAGATATCCCAACAACAGTTCTTACTATTGATAGCCGCTGACAGCAGCATGCCAAATATGTGCATATTCTCCAGGATTTGGGAAAGCATTTTAATATTTGACTTCATTGGAATATTGGTAAAATGTAAATTGACTATCCCTATTCATAAAACTCTTGTCATGATATCTGAGGTTATCCACTTTTGAAAGAAACGGTGTTCAGTGAATATTGTTAGTGTGAAAATCAATTGGTATCACAATTCTAGCATCACTTGCATCCCTTAAGAATTTGAAGCTCAGTTGTTTATGCTCTCTGGACTTCATGATAGAAAATAATCTGGCATTTTAGCCTTTCTGAACTGACTTAGTCAACATAATGGTGCTATTTCTCATTCCAGGTTTAAGTTTATCTATTCATGGGGCTGAAAAGCGTTTGCAAATCCATCAACGGCGAAGTGTGGCAAGCCACCCAAGGTCACGTCGCCTGCCCGTGGTCAGGCATTCCTCACTCCCACCAAGTAGAAGGTCAATAAAAATGGAGGCAAGCTCTTCTGGAATCACTAATGGGAAAACCAAAGCCTTCCACCCAGGTAAGGCATGGGGAAAGTGCAGCAGGGACCCATGTTAGCAGCAATCAAAAACAGCCTGTGTTATATTTTCATTATTGAATTATGCTATAATTCCAATTAAGTTTGCTTTTTAAAAGAATCTTGTGTCTGTCCCTTTCTTCGCTTCAATGTCACAAGACAAGTAAGAGGAGAGAGAGAGCTTGATGTGTCAGAAAGGTGAAGGCTACGTTCTGCCGACAGTGGTAGAATCTAAATGAAGATCTAAGTGAATAAACTTGCTTAGTTCAAAAAAGCTTATTATACACTAAAACAAAAGAGGATTTGGCCATTTTCTTCATAATTTATTCTAGGATAGGCCAGGGAGAAGGTCAACCTGAGAATGCCCATGTTGAAGCCCAAGATACCTGGTTTGACTTGCCTATAACCTCCTAAGAGTAAGGCAGAAGATTGGGATTATATTATGTTTCAAGGCTCTTGGAAGCATTTTAACAAGTGAAAAAGGTTAAAATGAGTCAATATCAAAGCAAGTAGTTTTTTACAAAAAAGGTTTTATTTGCTTGTTTGAATGAGAGGCTCATTTAGGTATTCATTCAACCAATTTATTGAATGCCTGCCATATACCAGGCATTGTCTTGGATGCTGAGGAAAAATCACTGAACAAGGCAACTGTACTGTCTATCTGATTCTTCTGTGTATTGTCTGGGCAGGTGGCCACCAAGCCCCAACTAAAGCCAAGCCTCCATCTCTAGCCATGTCATGCCATTCTCTCTTTCTCTTTCTCTCTCTCTCTCTCTCTCTCTCTCTCCAAATGTATCTCTCTTTACTCCCATCCTTTCCATCTTTCCTACATTTTTAGGAGATGAAGGTCTTCCCAATGATATTGAATAAGCCTTCACCTGTGCCCTTGGCCACCCCTCCTCTCTTGAACCTTGCTCAGGAGAATGTGTCCTCTCATTCTCTTTTTCTTCCTCCCTTACTGCTGGTTCTTTCTCCTCGGGTTATTAAATAGGCTTAAGCTCTCCCATTCCTATCATATTCTGTTCCCACTTTCTCTTTCATTTACCATCTCTCTTGAAGTTTTCCTTCTCCTTTCTAAGCCAAACATCTTCTAAGGCAAAGAATAATCTACACCATTTCCTCTTCTCCCTCCCTCCAAGCCACTCTTCAACCTACCACTACCTGGTTTCTAGCTCCTCCACATCTTCTCTTGAGGCCCTTCGTGACCTCTTATAGGCCCAGTATGCCAAGTGATAGACTCTTCTGATGCACCAGACCAGAATGGACCACCACTCCTTCCCAAAACCATGTTCCCTGGCTCCCCCAACAGTCTTCTTTCTTGGTTCTTCTGTTAGTTCTTTGGCATACAACTTTCCCGGTTTTCCCATTTCCATCATCTCTCTCTTCTTCTTACATCCCATCCCAGTAGGTCCTTTACACTAAATCTAGAATAGTTCATCTCAACCCTGACCATGTCATTCACCTTGCTTGTCCTGCTGTCTGTAGGGTAAAGTTTAAACCTCTTAGCATGTTGAAAACAAGTGCCCTTCATGATTTAGCCTCTATGGCTTCTCATCCTTCATTTTTGCCTACCTCTGCCTTAAACTTTATATGCTGGTGTATCAGTCAGGATTCAACCAGAAAATCAGAACCAGTGAAAGATACATACTAGAGATTTATTACAAGGAATTGGCTTTCATGATTGTGAGTTCTGTCAAGGCAAGTCTGAAATCCATAGAGCAGGCTGTCAGGAAGGGCAGACTGGAACTCTTGGGTGCAGATGAAGCTGCTGTCCACAAGTGGAATTTCTTCTTTTTCAGGGAGGCCTCAGCTCTGCTTTCAAGGCCTTTCAGGTGATTGGATCAGTTCTGTTCAGATTCCCTAGGATAATCTTCCTAAGTTAATTTCAACTGATTTCAGATTTCTATCACAGCACAGCAATACCTAGTGTTCATTGAGTAATTGGGGACTGTAGTCTAGACAAGTTGGCACATTAACTAGACCATTAATCAGATTAATCAGACATCTAATCAGACTGACTTGCATTCAGCTCTTCAAACACCTGGTACAATTTCATGTCTCCCAACATTTGCTCATGCTGCTCTCTCTAGGATGCCTTGCTTTTGCCACATTATATTTTAACATTTTTTAAATTACCTGTCTCTCCACCATAAGGTTTTCAAGGATGAGAAGTCTGGATTATATATATATTGTATCTCCAATAAATATGAGTAGGGTAAGACTGAACTGAACCATCATTAACTATTTTTCAGATTATTACAATAGTTTTTTTTATAAACAAATTTTTCCAGCTTTATTGTGTTATCACTGACAAATTATAGTAGTTTTCTAAATTGTTCTACCTGCCTTTCTTTCAACAAATATTTGTTGAAGGCCTATCCTTCAAGTACTTGTGATACAGCAATGAAATAAACAAAGGTCCCTGACCTCAGAGAATCTGATAGGTAAATTATATAGTGTTTAGGAAGATAATAAGTATTATGGGTAAAAGGAAAAGTAGGGGAATCAGGTAGTAGGATTGCTTATTGAAATTTTAAATAAGGTGGTCAGGGTAGGCCACTTCGTGGAGGAGATGTGCAATCAAAGACTAGAAGGAGCACCCTGGCTAGGTGGTTCAGTTGTTGGAGTGTCCTCCCATACACCAAAAGGTTATGGGTTTGATTCCTGGTCAGGGTACATACTTAGGTTGTGGGTTCAATCCCCAGTCGGGGCACAGAGAGAAGGCAACTAATTGATGTTTCTTCCTTACATCAATGTTTCTCTCTCTCCCTTTCTCTCTAAAAACCAATAAAAAACATATCTTCAGGTGAGGATTAAAAAAGACTAGAAGGAGCCAAGAGAGCCATGTAAATGGGCAAGTTCATTACAGCAGCGGGCTAGTCAGTGGATAGAGCCTAGGATAGCGATGAATCTAGAAGTTTGAAGATCAGCACAGAGGGCCTGAGCCTAAAGTGAGGGGAAAACATCAGCCTAGAGAGGCCAGTGGGAACAGATTGGGCAGGGCCTTATAGTCCACGGTAGGGACTTTGAATCCTGTGTGAAATCAGAGCACTTTCAGAGTTTGGAGAAAAAGAATCCTATGATCTGACTTATATTTTACAAGTATCACTTTGGCTACTGTTTGAGAATACACTATATAGATAGAGAGTGTGAAAGGAGAAAGGTCAAATAGGAGGCCACCATAACAATCTAGTCAAGAGAAGAATCCTATGATCTGACTTATATTTTACAAGGATCACTTTGGCTACTGTTTGAGTATAGACTATATAGATAGAGGGTGAAAGGAGAAAGGTCACATGGGAGGCCACCATAACAATCTAGTCAAGGGATGATGGTAGCTCTCATCATTAGGGGTAGGAGTAGGGTGGTGGTGCAGAAGTGGTGGTGAGGATTTGGATTTTGGAAGTATTTTCAAGATGGGCTAACAGGATTTCCCAATGGACTGAATGTTGGGTAAGAGAGAAAGGAGTTCTAAGGATGACTCCAAGGTTTTTTATCTGAATATATTTGATTGATATCCAATGGAGAAGCTGTAGGAGAAACAGATTTGGTGGATTTTAAGTCAGAAGTAGGGCCAAGATCAGAAGTCTGATTGTGAACCTGATAATATTAAAAACTGGCAAGATCATGTAAGTGGTGGGATAAACATGTCTGGAGTTTGAGTGATTGGTCTTGGAGGGAGATCTAAAATTGACTGTTGTTGACATATAAATGGTCTTTGAAGCATTGAGATGAAAAGAGATGACAAAAGAAAGAGGTAAAGATGGGGCAGGGGGGAGGATTAAGAGCTGAAATCTGGGGCACTCCAATAGTAAGGTAAAAGAGAACATGAATTAGCAGGAAAGAAGACCAAGACAGAATGCCCAGCAAGGATGGAAAGAAGCCAGAAATTATGTGTCTTGAAAGATAAGTCAAGAAAGTTTATCAAGAAGAGAGGAGTGGTGATTATCTCGGTTAAATATTGCTAAAAGTCAAGTAAGTCCAATGCTAAGAATTGGCCATTGATTTTAGTAAAGTGAAGATCAATGGTGATTTTAATAAGAGAAGTTTTGGTGAAGTGGTGGGTATGAAATACTGATTAATGTAGATTTAAAGGAGCATGGGAGGGTATAAATTGAATACTCTAAATACAGACAACTTTTTTGAGCAGTTTGCTGTGGCAGTGAAAAAATAGGGAAGAAGCTGGAGGAGAAATAAGGTCAAGGGAGAGTTTCTTTTCAAAATAGCAACTGTTTAGTAGATAATTCATGATGTTGGAAAGAGGGGAGAATTCATGATGTGAGCATCGGTGAGAGAGATGAGAGTAGCGCACAATACAATCATGAATAGTTTATTTGTGATAACAGATGGGAAGGGACAATATGTGTATGTTGTCAGTGTGATGAGAAGTTCTTTTCCCACTGTCAGTTTTATCTGTAATGTGGGAAGCAAGGTTATGGCTGAAAATGAGAATGGAGCCAAGGAGGGAGAGGCAGAGAAAGAGGGAGAGGTGGAGGGGAATCTGTATGTTAGGATGATATGATGGTATGATAAACAAGAAATATGATTGCCAGTCACATTCGAGGGCTGTTGTAGATTTATGGTTATGATTAAAGTAGGAGGAGTCACCATAGTTGTGTTTTGCTTTAATCTTGTTTAGCCACATGAGTGAAGACGTAGAATAGATGGGGGGTTAGATTTAGTCAGGGCTGCATTTTGCCAAAGAATTAGGAAAAGAGTGATTGGGATTCACAGGTTCATGAGAGGCAATGATTATAATAATTGATTATGTGATGTAAAGCTTTGTAAAGAGTTAAGTCAAGACATCAAGGGGGTGAGGAACAATGGAAAGCTGATAGAATCAATTGGTTGGAGGTCTGAGAGATTTGAAAGGGTGTTGAGGTCGGGTAGTGGGAAGAAGAACTGGAAAGATAAGAGGACGTGATAAGAGAGGGCACTCATGACACTGATGTTATGGAGGAGGGTGCTATTATTAGCAATAAGCAAGTCTAGACTAGGATATG